CCCCAAAACCCCAAAACCCCAAAACCCCAATTCTTCTAAGCAATATATATTTTAATGGAAACAATCATCCTTCACCAAGAGTCCACAGGCAGCCTCCAAAGTTTGCTCTCCAAGTTCAGCCACTGTTCTTCCATTTTGCGTTACTACGGAACTTTCAGTCAGTGCAAAGGGCTTATGCTAGGATTGTGAATGGAGACAAGGAGATGATTTCAGGATAATTTGGTGGCGTTCAGGAATAGATTGGAGCAAGGGGAGGCTGGGGAATTTGTTAAGCTTGAGCTTGATCCTGGGTTTGGAGAGGAACATGTGGAGGTTTTGGAGAAGATTGGGGGTCATTCTCAGTGACAGATTGGAGGAGAGATTGCAGTTTTGGTTACTTTGGTAAAGGAGGAGGATATATTGAGTTTTTGTGAATTTGTAGAGAGTTGTAGCTACTCTTGTGGTCTGATATTTTATGAAGTACTAGTGAAGATTGGTAGGACAGTTAAGGATGAAAGTATTTATAACTTACCTTATGATTGTCTAAAGAATTCTACTATTGACCCCAACTGTGTGCAGATTAAATGAACTAAAGGGTTTAATCCAAAGGACTTCAAAGATAAGATAAAATTTACTAAGATACTTCACAATGCTGAGTTTGCGAACTGATTTGAAAGAGTTCACACTTTAGATCTCACACAAAGCCCTGAGCGCCTTGATATTTCACGTATCACTACTGAATGTTTAATTTTATGTGTGAAAAGCTTAGATCTATATAACCTTTTACATGATCAATCAAAGAAAGTTCCAATGAACCTCTCTCAAAATGTGGCAACTCTAAAAATCAATTGGATTTCAGGTGGTTATTTTAAAGAAACTGGAGCACAGGATGATTCTTCAAAGAAAAGACTGTCCTTGACTAAAGAATGTCTCTCAGAATTCTTTCCTCAACTTCAAACCTTAGAATTCATGATGCCAGAGGTCAAAGACAATGTAAGAAAAATAAAAATATTTTGAGAATGATCTTGCGCTAATTTTATTTTGGGTCTTTCTCAAGCTCTTTGTCTCTAGAGTACTTTTATCTATATTAATAAATCTGCTTGCTCATATTCTTCAAAGTGAGCCTGTGAGAGTAGTACAAGCCCAAGTTTTCTAAAACAAGTGTGGCATCTACTTAATTTGATTCAAGTTTAGCTATATGTATCTAAAATTAACCATTTCACCTAACTTTAGGTTCACCCAACAGCAACTCTCAATGGAAAAACAAGAAATGGTGTATCTCTCCTCAGTTCTCGACCAGAAGCAAGCAAAATCTTGACTTTAGGAGACGTTGACGTATTCTTCCATCTCCCACAGAGTGATTACTTTTGCTGCTTCCATGCTGATGAAGTTAGTTACTATTCCAAAGATTGAGGTAAGATTTCATCCAATTTGTAGGAAATTTAAATAATTATTTTTATTTTGTCTTAGCTCTAGGCTTTCTTTTATGTTAGAGCTTTCAACAAAAATGATTATTACTAAATTAGAGTTGTAGATGATTAATATTTCATGCATACTCTTTGATTTATACTATTTGGTCACTTTTTGCAAGAATACAGCATTCAAAAATTAAGAATAAGAACCTAGATATTGCTTCAAACCTTTTCTAAACAGTTTTATTAAAATTCAGAATGGATTCTATTCGCAATGTGCCAGCGTTATTGCTGCTAAAGAGTAATAACTATTTTATTTTCAGCTCATTTTCTCTGACAGAGAACAAGAAGTAGCACAACACTTCTTCTATTAGTTTTATGAGCTAATATCGATGTTTAGTCTTAATTATTGTCAACTAATTTAGACTTAAAGCCCTTGATGAGCATTTTATTAACTAAACTGCTATCAGAATCCTTTTGTCTTGTAGGTGTTATTTGAACCTCAAATTACTCAAAATCCTCGAATTCTTTGGCATAGTTCTTACTAGTGATTTACAGAGGAAAGGTATAAAGTCTCTGAAAGTATTTTTATGAGTAAAAGTTTAAAGCTAATTGAACTATGAGTCGATTTAGTGGTGTCTAGCTGAGTATATTTCTTCATCTGTGCAGTTATATTTCTGGTTGCTAGAGGCATTATAAAACTCAAATCCTTGATTACTGAAATATAACGGGAACATTCTGGTTGATCTTTAGATTCCTTGACTTCATAGGCTTTAATGCAACTCCAAGAGAATGGAAAGGTGAGAAGTACCTTGATGTGTACACCTATCTTGACCTTGAGTTTATTGCAATATCACAGAAAGATGAAATAGATTTGGAGGATTTTAAAAGATATGTTGTGAACTACCCTATGAATACTCATGCAATGACTGGTTGGTGCACGATGTTTGGCCAAGATATTGATGATGTTTATGGAGAATCTGTTCTTTTGAAGTATAGAACAGTCAAGAAAATCAAGAGTCCTGCTGTTTTGGCAGCATTAAAACCAAGTGGTTGAGATATCTTAGAATTCAAAGTTAATGATAGCTCAACTATAGGGAAAGGGCCATTACTACCGTTGGTTAAAGTACAGAAGCCTTTAAAGTTCAGCTTGAGGATTTTACTGAGTGCAGAGAACGTTTCTTTTATATGCAAAGCTATAAAGAATAGATGCACAGATATCTGTTTAATAGTGACTGATGAAGCTATTCGAAGGACAGGCATCATCAAGAGAAAACAATTAGTTGAAGGTATGTTGTTTCTTTGGAGTTTGAGTGGATTTTGGCATATTTTCATTAGCTTTATCACTTTCTTTTTGAAATTTCTAGGCGAAATTGCGTTAAATGTATTACTCTGAAATTAAACCACACTTTAATTACAAGAAGATCATTTTTGCCAAACTTCAAAAGTCCTTTGGGAAATAGAAAGACTAATAAATTTCAAAAATCTTAAAATTTACAAAAAGAAGTCATGTAGAATAATTTTTGTTAGGTATATGCCAGGAAGCCGTAAAACCTATTACTACATATCCTCATCCCAAATCTACTGAAGGGCCCAAACCCTCAAAATGCAAAGCTAGAAAGCAGCCTAAAAAGTATCTTCGAAACTTGATCATAAAGTATAAGAGTAAGTGTACTGCAGCTAATAAGAGATAGATCCAAAAGAAATAAAGACAATGTTCTTCTTATCAGTAGGGGAAACTGACAGGAAGAGTCTTCAGAAAATATTAAAGTGTGAATAGAAGTTTCCCTGATCCAGGATTTCTAATTGGGGTTATGGAGTCGGCAATGATATTTCTGAAGAGATTTGTAGGCTCTGGGGTTATGAATTTTAAGAGGAGGTTAGCCCATATTGTTTATTTTAATATGAGGAAATGGGACTGTTGTTGTGAAGTTTTTTGTGGTTAAAATGGGGTTTTGGGGTTTTGGGGTTTTGGGG